ACTAATAAAATTTAATAATTAAAAAAAAATTAAAAAAAAAAAAAGAAGATCCTATGAAACAGCCACACGAAGCTTCTGCTCAGCTGACAGAGATGGAAGGGCAAGGCTTCCCTCTCAGCGGTGACACTGCACTTCAGAAATGCTTACGGGGCAAATTCCAATGTGATTAGCACCAAAAGCTGCAAGGTCAGAAATGGGTCAGAGAGCAGTGTTCCTGTCTCATCCTGCAGCCTTTGACTCTGGCCAGCTGTTGGATAAAAGGGCCAGGACAAGAATGGAAGCCTAGATTGCAGTTGTCCCAACATCTCCACAGCACACCCCACATCCAGTAGGAGCTGGGGGACAAAGAAGGATGTAACATCACTAATGTGTTACATATACCAATAGTGATCAAATGTCCTTGGTTTCAACACCCCCAGGGCTCCTGAACATCTAGGTCTAGGAGCCATTTGTACTTCATTGAGGTCAATGTTAAATCATCTGCAGGCTACCTAGGTCACTAAGCAGGTGGGGGCTCAGTATTTGCCTTTAGATCAGCTCAGGCAGGGCTTTGGGAGTACACTAACTCCCAAGATAACAGAAAGTATAACATATTTGAAATATGTTACATTAGGAAAAAAGCTAGTGGTGCTCCAAAAGCTAAGGTTTACAGTGTTCCATTAAAAACCAATCTGAGACTACAAATTCAACAATTACTCTAAAGCAAAGATGTGAAGGCAAGGAGCGGCAGGGAAACTAAAGCACTGGAAATGGAACAACTAGAATATGATTAAGGGGTAGGGAAACTAAAGCACAGGAAACAGAACAACCAGAATGCAATTAAATAACATGCTGACTCATTATGGGGAGGGGAAAAATATAACTAAAATCACAAAACAATTTGTATAGAAACTGTTAAATGAAAATTTAATTTATTATGTAAACGTTGACCAAAACCACAGTCAAATATTTTTATTTTAAAGAAAAAAAAGCTTTGGTGTTAGCTAAAAACAAAAACAAACCCAAAACCAACCACCCTCTTAGTGACTAGAAACAAATAGAACTTTGGAGAAAAACAGAGTTCTAAATGAGCATTTACGAGCTGGAGGCCTTTTGAAGGATTCAGGACATTCCTTAAATGACAAGGGTGCATGCTCACTTTCTAACAGATCCCTTCTCATGCCAGCCACAGCAAACTCTGTCCCAAATCACCAACACGTAACAGTCTTCTAGGTCACTGGAGGGGATGATCACAAATGCACTAGCTCTCCTGCAAGCCCACCATGCCTCCCCTTTAAGCAGAGAAGGTGCCATTCTAAAAGCAGCCCTGATGTATCCAACGGAGATGGTGAACTGCCTGGTATTCAGACTTCAATCCAAGAAGCCTACATCATCCCAGTTTAGGATGTAAACAGTGAGTTGTTTCATATTTTAAAAGACGTTCGAGTTAAAATAATACTAATTATTGAAAAACAATTTCTGATGTAGAAATAAGTCCATGACATTGTTAGGTGTTTGTTAAAAGCAAAAACAAAGGTTACAAAATATTAACTAGAAGAAAAGAAATGTATCTATTTTCATGTCTGCAGTTTCTATCTTCAATTGTACAGTAAGGTAGAAGCGTGAAGAATGTGGAGGCATTTCATACTTCTGCATGCACATTCTCTATTTCTGCATAAGGTGATAGCATAAGTTTAATTTTTATTTTCACTAGTATATATTTTCTAAATTTTCTAGAATGAACACACATGTAAGATCAGATAAAACAAAGCACCGTAATTTAAAAGTGGTTCCCATTTACATTTATGATGGGTTTCTTTCAAGTAGCCACTAATGTTATTGTTGCTACTGATTGTTGCTACTGTGTACCACTGATCTGACTCCGATTCAGAGACCCTATGTGACAGGAGAAGGTGTGTGGTTCAAATCCACCAGTTGCTCTGTGGGAGAAGGATGGGCACTCTCAGCCCGCACAATGTAGTGGATCTGAAAACACACTGGAGGGTCAGCTCTACATCAGTTCCAGCTCGATGGTTGTGGGGTTCAGGGTTCGTTGTTCATAATGGCTTCCCCAGCCACTGACTGCCCATGTGGATGGGCGGGAATATGCGAGTAGGGTGTATTAGCCTATCTACAAGGGGACTGGCTAGTCTCACCAATCCACAAGAGGACTGGCTAGTCTTGCCACTAAATTGAGGAGATCCAGCACCAGAACTGGAGAACCTCACAACCAGCAAAGAACCAAGAGAAGACAGCACAGCCTTCGGGGCCAGAGTTTCTTGCACCAGTCAGACCAGAGGCTACAGGAGCAGCAGCCACAGCAACCACAGTGGAGAACGAGAGACCTGATGTGAGGTGGAGCGGGCCCTGGGACTGCTACGCCACCAAACCATAGTGAAGAGCCTTCCGCCCCAAGTTTACTGGAGGACTGTGGTGGGGAGAGCCACGATTGGCAGGACTCACAGCCTAAAGCCACAAAGCTGAGGGCCAAGGTGAATGTGAGCACATGTGTGCAGCTGACCTGATCAAGTGACTGTATCCTGCTACTAATCTGAAGCCTTTTGACTTCCCTAATAGGGTTCTGTGTGGTCGGTGAGCTATTGCGGCGGATTCTGGACCCAGGAAAGCAGTAAGATTGGGCTTGGGATGAGCAGAAGGAGGTGCAGGAGCATGGAGGACACACACCTGACCTCATAGGAGTTGGTTTTGTGGTGCTGGTTTGTTGACAGTTCCCTTTTGTGGAGTTGGTCAAGGTCAGAAATGGTTGTCACCACACAGCCATTGTACTTTTGATAATGATATGTAACAACAACAACACCTAACAGGGAAGCACTGCCTCACAGTTCCCAAGGCTGCAGTCCGTACGAGGGCTGACTTCCGGTCCTTTGGAGTGGTGGGTATGACTAAGCTGCTGACCTTTCGGTTAGCAGCCACGAGCTCAACCATAACACCGCCAAATCATTTCATATTAAAATAGCGCTTCTATCTCCAAAGTCGCTCTACGGTCATACTTCATGAAGCAACATGGAGATCAGATAAACCTTGTGTTTAAGGAATAACAGAAAGGAAGAAGGAAGAAGAATAAAGAGAGCTAGGACTCAAAGAGGGAAGGGAACAGAAAGGAAGAAACGCCAACCCCTGTGGCTTGTTAGTGACCTCAGTGTCACTAACTCAGTGTCCCTCCACGGTGGACACTGGTGCAGTGTCCCCCCACAGAGGACAACAAAAGTAGCGTATACACAATGACAGGAGCCAAGAACTCTGGAAGAGAGACCAGCAGCGTAAGCAGACTTCTTCCATTAGGAAGAGTCTGCAAGGGTCAACTCAAGTTTCTCTTGGAGACTAGGAGTCTGAAGCTCCATCTCACATATTTTGGGCAAGTAGCCAGGATGAACCAGTCCTTGGAGAAGGACATCATGCCTGGAAGACTGGAGGGACAGTGCATAATAAATTATATGTCTACTGCAAATATAAAAAAATAAAGAAGACTGCAGGCCTTCCTAACGCTGGCTTCCACCATTCCCCAGCTGCGCTCCTGGAGAGCTTACCTGCTGCCAGTGTAACATGTTTTGCACCGACGTTCCAGCAGGGGACAGCGAGGTGTACACATCCACTCGAGTCTGCCAGATAGCAATGTTAACAGAAGAATGAAAACAGCGTTAAAGTATCATCAATATGAAACCTGATTTTCCTTTCTAAGTATTAAAAATTACAGAGCCACAGATGGAACATCCTTAACAACTAACATGTCACTCGGAGCACAAAGGAAGAGCTGTGAGGGTGCCCTGCTTCAGAGGACACGTTCTTTTACTTCCCCAACGCTTCTCTGAAGAGCCAATGTTTTATGTATCCATCACACTTTACTTTTATTGCAAGAAAAATTCCAAGAGTCTCATGATTGCATCCTAAAACCTGTTTTCAAAAGGCATCATTAAAAACTATATATTTAAGGGGAGCTCTGGTGGCCTAGTGGCAAGGAGCTGCAACTACAATCCCAGAGGCGCACGGTTTGAATCCACCCACCAGATGCTCTGCCGGGCAAGGAGGGACAATCTCCTCCTGTACCAGTCAGATCTGATTTGACGGTACACTCACACAAAAATAATAAAAAAATTAAAAAAAAAACAAAACCCCTATATATTTAGACACAGCAGCACATGCTGACCAAGGTTTGATACTTCAAATACACACAAGGCATAGAGCTTGAGAGCACGCTCTGGTAGTGCAGTTTGTAGAGAATGAGCTGGTGACTTGAAGGCTGCACCTCTAGGGAGGTTTGAAACTACCAGCAACAATAAGGAAGAAATAAGGGCAGTCTCCTCTAGTGTGATTTATAGCTTCAGAAACCCACTGGCCGGTCAGCTATGAGTCAATCCTTCCCTTATTAAAGCAGCCATTGATGGTGTAGGAATTTGCCCAAGTTCTACCTCAAACCACCTCACGCTCACTGCTTTGAGTGAGATCTTTGAGTAGAGTGAGTTCTCACTCAGGGACCCTCCATCGGGTTTCTGAGGTGTAAATTCAAACAGGAAGAGACTGCTCGTCTTTTTCCCTCCCAGGACCCACTGGGGAATTTGAACCACCAGAGATGCAGCCTTTTGGTTAGTGGCTCAACACTGCAGACGACACTTGAGGACCCTTTCCAGCCCTTTATAAGGTTCTTCCTGCCTGCTCACATCATCTAACACAAATACATTCACAGACGAAGGCATGGACAGGTTAAAGGAAGTCCGACCATAAACATACATACCATGTTTAAGTTTCTTTCATTGAATCCACAGATGAGAAAAAGGAGATTTGCGCACAACTCCTTCAGAATGGCATGAGTGCAAAAATGGGCACTCAGCCACTTCATGAGTGTACTCTGAGGAAGAAATTCTTTGACTCCAAATAACTCCTAGAAAAAGAAACAAACAACCCAATGATATTACAGGGTGTTTTTCTAGGAAGCAGGTTTCCACGACCCATCAAAAACAGATGTGGGGTATTGCCAGCAACAAATTCATGAGTGAAATGGTACATCAAGGATTCAAACTAGGACACTTCTACAATAATTCACAAAGGCAAAATGGGGTTATTCCCCTCCATGATTTTAACAGATATGTAGATAAAAGTCTCAAAAGAAAAGGAAGCAACAATGGACCTACACACAACCGTGAAGAGTGGGCAGGGCCATCCAGGCAGTAAGTACTTCATCCTGCTGCACAGAGTCACTACAAGTCTGAACCAATTCCAGGGACCCTCAACAACAGCTGGAACCAAGTCAGTACAATTATGTATCAGTGACTTAAATCCCAAGAAACCAAACTTTCCTTTTGAATGAGAAAGGACACAACTTTGACTTTGAACTCCACCACTGTTATGCAAATGTACAGCAAACTGTCTTGAGAAATTACACCATAGCAAAGCTGTACATAGAGCTAAAAATTTCACTTTGTGCATTTAGAAGTCTGTTCACATCACCCTTGGGTTCTTTGTCATTTACATTCCTGTATTTTGAGAAAGGTTTAGCAGGAATACTTTACAGATATAACCTATAATGTACTTGTCAGAGTAACTAAGGAAAGGTTTTATGATGTGTGCACATTCGTCACTCTCCCTTGATGTTACAGTGATCTGTGTATTTCATTAAATCACTGATGACTGAAATACCATTCTGTTCAGCCTACATCAAGCATGTAGGGTGCTTTGTGAAAACAGAGACCTTGGGGGTCCAGATTAGACAAAACATTATCTCCAGGGGAAAATACGAGGTAGGAGTTTGTGTTTTTATAAAGCTATTGAAAGCTCAATCTCCAAGAATTGCTGCTCTGGGAATTTTCATTGTTCTTCAGATCCTCCAAAGTAGTGAAACAGGTTATTCAGAATCTGCTGGTGGGAATTTAAATTGACAAAGCCACATCAAAAGGCAGTGTGCATTTAAAAAAAAAAAAGCACATTCTTGATGACAGAGCACTTTCACTTCCCACATCCACTGTAGGGAAGTCCTAAAAAAAAAAAAAGCCTCCGTGTTCAGCACAGGAAGCAGGTGAGATCAAAAGCAGTTCCTGATGCCTGAAAACTGAACTAGGCAGCAGTTAAAAAGAATGTGGCAGAAGTCTGTGTGTCAACATGAAAGCTCTGGCTGAAGGGAAACTGAACATGCAGAGCAGTAGACTCAGCACTGTACCCCCAAAGGCAGCGAGTGGACTGGAACAGCTTGCCTTGGTGTGGGCAGTGCAGTTCCCACCACTACGCCACTAGAGCTCCTTGGTTTGTGTGTAGAGATCTTGTTATAAAACACAGATAGCAAAAGCAGTGTCAAAAAATCATGCCTAGTGTGTCAAGGGAGCGTGATGTGGGTAGTGGATTTCTGGTCTCCCATCTCCTGCCTAATCTCATACATGTGCCCAACGTACAGAAAAAGGGCAGCTCCCGGAACCTTTGTGTTATCTTCTGCCAGACCTTCTCATGCCCTTTTACGTGGCGGGTGGCAAGCTGCACTGACACATGCTAACTATGGGTGTGATGCCAATGGTGTCTCCCCAACACCCCCAGACCCAGCAGTGAAGGGAGAATGAAAAATCTATGGAGAAAAGAAACACCATTGTGCTTTTGACAGCAAAACGGAGAGACAGAAGACATAGATTCCTCTTCTACTAGTTACATTTTCAGAACTAAAAAGGAAATTTGTGGGGCGGGCTGGGGGGAGGGAGGAATCTAAATACCTTATAGACTTGTTCGGAGAAGTCTAATTTGGCAATAGGGCTGGTAGAAAGCCTGCATGAAGCCACAGGAGCCAGGGCGAAGAACATCTTAATTCTTTTGGCCAGCTGAGGGAACCTTGAAAATGCTATAAAGCCTGTGGAAGCAAAAGGAAAATAGCAATCTCACCTTCTGCCACTTGGAAAGGAGAGGGTTGGTCATTACTGTTACACCTCATTCTGAAAAACACGCACATCTGCTGAGGTTAGGCAGCTTGGGATGCTCTTTGGGACGGGGTCCCCTGAACTTCTATATGTGTAAACTCTAGATTTGACTGAAGAGAATCAAGAACGTGTTGTGTGCTTTTCCCAAAACTCAACCCAAATGCAAGCCGGAACAAACTGAGGCTGTGAGAACCTGAAGAACTTGCCTGTTCCCTGGACAATCTGGATCATCCTGCAGTAAACAAACAGCAAGGCTGTATTCCCTGTAGCACCAGGAACTGCCACTTCCCTCCAATCTGAGACTCATTTACCTGAGTATTTATTTCAGTCATTGATGACTCAAAAGGAATTCTTAGCATATCCCAACATTAAGGTGTGTCTGACACAAGCTGTGGTAGTTTCAACTGCTTCACATGCATGTGAAAACTAAAATACAAATAAGGGAGAACAAAGCATAACTGATGTCTTTTAATTGGATCTATCATCGATGGCCAAAAAGAGTAAACAAATTGGTCTTGGAAAGAAATGCTGCCAGAGCGTTCCTTAAAGGCAACCATGATGAGACTTCACTCACAGACTTGAAGTATGTTATCAAGAGGGACCAGTCCTTGGAAAAGGACATCATACTTGGCAAAGTGAAGGAGAGAGAGAGAGAGACTCTTAGTGAAAAGTATTGATGCAGTGACTGAAACAATGTTTTAAGCACAACAGAGACTTGGGGATGGAGCAGACTTTGGTTTTGTTGCAGATGGGTTTGCTCTGAATTGGAGTTGAACCATAGCACCTAGCAACAAGCAGCTGGTGGCCCAGTGCATCCACCAGCCGCTCCTCCAGAGAAAGACGGCAATCTCCACCCAAAAAGAGGTACTGCTTCAGAAATCCAACAGAAGGTCACTACGGGAGTTTTCTCGCTTCACTTTGAAAGCCAGTGTATTTTTGTTTTATTTTCTTTTTTATAGTCTAAAGTTAAGGTTTCTCATTTTCCACCCTTTCACATACCCAAATGGCTTAAACTGGTTTGCATTCATTCTTTCAATCCTGAGAGAACTGTGTGTGTTCATTAATATTAAAGTCTGGATTTCTAGTGGAAAAAAAAAACCTTTTGCTACCAATTTCCTGTCCTATTCATTATTTAATGATGCTTAGTATTTAAAAACAAAAAACAAACCAAACACCAATTTATTTGAACTAACAGGTTTTTGTTCTTTTAAAAAAAAATTCACTTTTTAAGAACAAACTTAGCAATAAAAATCTATGGCAACTTTGAATCTTTATTACTTACCTATAGTGGTGCCTTGAGAGTGACCCACATAATACAGCTGCTGTTGGCCAGTTTTATTCAGGACGAAGTTAATAGAAGCAGGTAAGTCATAATACGCCATCTCATCAAAACTGTAATCAAAACAAGGAATCTTTCATCAGATTGTTACATACAAATAGAACAGCGCACAAGTTAAGCGCATGTGGGTGTTTCTGAGCTCAGGCAACAGATGGATACTGGAATTTAAGAAGCCTTTGACCTTGAGCATTCTTCTGTTGTGCTTCTGAACTATTACCCTTTGATTTTCCACACTACACATTAGTTTTATTAATTTCACTTACACACAGAGTATATCTTTTTCTGTATCTGTTTTCATCTGCATTAGTTAAACCACCCCTTAACAATTTTACTGATGGGAATTTTTTTCACTATTACAAATAGTGCTACAATAAACTTTTTTGTACTTCTGGCAGGGAGCTCTGGTGATGCGTGTATGTAAATGCACCAGGCTGCTAATCAGAAGATCAGTAGTTCAAATCTATTAACCACTCCACAGGAGAAAAATGCACAATCTCCTGTAAAGATTCAGAGTTTGGGGAAACTCGAGAGAGGATCATTACAAGTTGGAACCAACTCAGTGACAGTTTTCTGGGTGGTTGTTGTTTTCTTGAATCTGGGCAAAAGCTTTCATTCTGTTTCCTATCTTTAGTCAAGTATTGCTTAAGTGAGTGGGAAGCAAGTCTGGAAAACCCCACAGTGCTTACCTGTTCTGATTGCTGGTACTGGATAAAGAACTCAGAATTTGTGTGTATGTACGTGCGGGGGGGAGGGGTAGATGGATTTATGTTTGTCATCAGGGGAAGAATGAGTCAACTGTTAACGGGCCTTCCCAATGTCTCAGGCTCTTCACATGGACTGTCTCCTTTTTTTTTTTTAAATCTTTTTAATTAATTATTTTTAATGAAAGTTTTTTGGATTTCCATTCATTCATTGTTGCACTTGCATCCTATCCTTAATACCCAGATAACCTTATGAGTTAGTTACTTGTTATCCTTGTTGTTGTTAAGTGCCATCGAGTCGCACACAAATCATAGCAACTCCATGAACAGAAGACCTGAACCCTGTTCTATAACTATCATCGTTCCTCCAAGTTCATAGAGTTTCCAGAGGCATGTTTTTTAGGAAGTGGATGCTACTTCTGCTTCCAAACCTGTCCTAATCTGGGAGCTCCTTAGTTTGCAAATAAGTAACATGAGACACAAAGATATATGTACCATGTTCAATGTCAGACAGATGTGGTTGGTAGGACCAGAAGTAAAAGGAGGAGAGAATTTCAGACTTTAGAATTTCTGGAAAAGTGAAATTTGGAGTGCATGTTTTTGGAAGACTATAGGACAACATTTACCCAGCAGCTTCCCAATTTCCACAAATGACAAAATAACTAAACATTTACTTGATTCCTCACTGAATCTAGCTCTTCATAAAATGTAATCACACTCACTTATGTTTCCCTTATTGGTATTAAATTGGATTCCTAAAGGGGCACAAAGTCCTCCAAGAAGCATCAGTTTTTCCTCTCATACAACCTCAGAGCTACTCATCCATCTGCCTCTATGACTGGGAGCTCCGAGTGTCGGCATTAAGGTGTTAAGGAAACGGAAGTATACCGTTATCAATTCAAATATACCTGAAGGCCCAGAATTCATCCTGAGTATCTGAAAGAGTCTTGTGTTTCCGAGACCAGGTGTTTCCCCTGCTGTTCCCCAACCAGACATCATAACCAGCGTCAGCAAGGATGAAACCCAGGCTGCTGTTGGCAAGGTTCGTGAGCCAGTTAGTGGCATCTGCAAGCAAGCCATGCTGCAGAAATACAACGGGCTTGGAACCTGAAAAACATACATGTGTAGGAGTCAGCAGAACCACGCTTTAAAATAGCATATGCTGAAAAACAAAAAAAACCAAACCTCCCCACCACAGAGTTGGTTCCAACCCATAGGTGACCCTCCAGCGGTTTTCAGAGGTTGTAAATCACGTGAGAGGAGACTTTCCACCTTTCTCCTGCAGGGCAGCGGGTGGATATGAACCACCAGTGAGGCAGCCTCTTCATGCAGGCAATACAACTTCCTACTGAGTTACTGAATTCTTGTACGATTCCAACACAAATACTGAAACTGAAATAAATCAAAACACTGACTAATCGACCCACAGCTGACCCTCCAATGGTTTTTCAGAGGTCATCAATTACATAGGAGATGACTGCCCATTTTTCTTCCATGGAACAGCTAGTAGATTTGAACCACATGCCTTTCGGTTGGCAGCACAGCTTCTTAGCCACTAGGCCACCAGAACTCCCTCATGTAACATTACCTAGAAATACTGAGTTGACTCCAATTGATGGCAACCCTTCATCAGGTTTTTAAGGCTGTAAGTCCTTAAAGGAGGAGATTGTCCATCTTTCTTCTATAAAGCAGTTGGTGGATTTGAATTGCAGACCTTTCAGTTAACAACCCAGCAAATAATGTGCTATGCCATCAATTCCTTAGAATTTCTTTAAACACTACTAGCAGAGTAGTGATGACAGTGGACTATTTTCATTCACGTTTAGTATCAAGAAAACAACATGAACATTAGCGACATAAAATGTATTATTTCTTTAATAAAGTTTCAAAGTATTTCTGCAATTTGCTTCAATATTTGCACTATTCACAAAATATCCTCATAGTATACATTGTTCTATATGCCAAAAGAAAGAAAAAATTATCACACACACGCACAGAATTATAAACAGGAACAAAAACAAGAATTTGTTTCTTTCCACCTGTACCGGTAACATTGCAACACAGTGAACAAAAGATACATGGGAGCCAAGAAACTTGACCTGAGGCTGCTTACAGAGTGTCAGGTTGCCCAATTAGCAAGGTAAGCACAGGCTTACCTTTCCCTATTACTGCTACTCAGTCATGGCTTTTGTGGAGAATAGTTTCATATTGTTTCACCACATCAAAGGCATCTGTCCTGACCCCACACCCCATCTTATGGAATCAAACCCTTTTTTTCAAATTTACCATCCCTGACACGGATGGGGATGGTCTAGTGGTGGAGTCTGAAGAGGACTGGAGTGCTGACCCAAAGGCAGCATCTCTCTGGAAGTTCAAATCCATCTGCAGCTCCAAAAGAGGAAGAAAAGACAACCTCCTCCCCTGAGATTAACAGCCAAGGAGAAGAGTCAGCTAAGAGTCAGATGTGCATAGACGGCAATGAGTTTTGTTTTTGCTTCGAGTACTCAACTTCACACTGCGCCTCCTTACGAATCTGCACTGGTTCATTTCACACCTCATTTATAAGAGGATGTACAGACTCCATTATGTGCCTAGCCTAAGCCTGACCTGGGCCTAACGCTAAAAGTCATCTCAATTCAAGGAACAGGCCATAAAAATTCTTTGCCCCAGAGGCAGCCAATCAGGAAAGAAAGCAACCACAAGATAACCACAGAAATATGGGAGGGTCTTATCTCAAGGTTAGCCATCTGTGCCTGGTGTTTAAAACTGCCTGAATAACTAATCCTGAGGTTTAATGTATGTAACACAAGAATGTGGGTACGTGACACAAGAAAGTGCATATGTGACGGGAGAGTGTGGTCTGTTGGCCACCTAGGCATGAGCCAATCACAAACCAACCCATGTAGCTGTTCCCCTCGACCACCAATCATGTTCCCAATTACTTCACCCTGGTCAAACAGCTCATAAAAAGGGCTGTGTGCCCACACTCAGAGTCGCCATTTTCTATTGAATGATAGACCCCTGAATGCTGGAGTTTGTTCTGCAGCATAAAGCACTCTTGCTGTATACACATGTGAGTTGGTGGTCTTTCGGGAGGTGATCTATGGACCTAACAATTTAAAATGCTGTATTTTAGTAAATAAGCACAAGGAAGCCTGTGCTTACCAGATGATAAGACCTTCCTTACATGGTACTGAGACCTTCAGGTATTCAGTAAATAAACACTTTGGTTTTGTTTGTTTTCTTTTCTCTCCTTTTCTCTCTCTTAATAAGCACTTCTTGAGCACCAGCTACGTCTCATTTTTCTCAGTGCAGAGAGTGCTAGAGAACAAAAATGAGAGGGGGAAAATCCCACCCTCATGGCACTGATATTATATCACCAGACTTTTAGAGGCAGGCAAACGTAAGTGTATAGATCACACACTGAGAGCAAAGCAATTGAGGGGGAGGCTGGAAAGAAAGGGGTTAGTAAAATCAAACCATCTCAAACTCAAAAGCCCAAACAAAACTTCCTCATCATCAAGCCAGTATCCACTCATCGCTGACCCTCCTCTGGGTTTCTGAGACTGTAAATCACACAGAAGATTACCCACCTCTCTCCTTTGGAGCCACCAATGGGTCCAAATCCCTGGAGACGTGAGGCCTTTCTATTAGCTTCACAACTCCCGACCAATTATGCCAGAAATTTTTAACAGGAAGGGAAGAGTAATGTGACTTCTTTTCAAATTCTCCTTGTTTGTTTGGCTTCTCCACCCCTCATTTCAAGCTCAATGTAAAATTCTCAAGAAATAACAAATTAAAAAGATGGCACCATCTGGGTTGGACAGACAGAAAGGACAAAGTTGAATTTCTAGCTAAGAAACTAATTTTCCACTTCTGGAGGATTTGGAGTTCGGGAGTACAGGAAATATTGTTTTCTCATTGGAAATGTAGAAGTTAAGGAAAGAAACAATCTGAGAAATGTGAATACTATGCTCTGACAAATGGCTAGGCTTTAACCCTGAGACCAACCTATTGTATGCAGTTATAATGTCTATTCATCTGAAGACCTATTATAGAAAACCAACTGTATCTTAAGCAATGCTATTGTTGCTACATGCTGTTGCGTCAACTCCAGCTTGAAGCAACCACATTTGACAGCGCAAACTGCCCTACAGGGTTCCCAGAGTGTAAATCTCTATGGAAGTTGACTGCCACATCTATCCCGCATTGAGCTGCCATCAGATTCAAACTACCAACCTTTGGGTTAGCAGCCAATCATTTAACCATCACACTACCAGGCCTCTGTCTTACCAGTATACTAGGAAAAGAACCACAAGAAATTCAGGACATGCTTTAGTTTCTGCAAACCTTTATTAGTGTCTACTTTGTATTAGCGACACTGCTAGATGCTGGGACCACAAAGATGGGTAGCCTGCACTGCCTGACTCCAAGGAACTCTGCTGTAGTGGAGATGACAGACATGTATTTATCTTCTGGTTCAGCATAGAAAATGCCAGACCACCACCTGAGAAAGCACAAAGGCAAGTGAAAGACTGGGTATGCATATAAAGGTTACTGGGTAGGAGACAAGAGGCTCCCACAGAGAATTCTGGGGAAGAGATGCTGAAGCTATGCCTGAAGCTATGCCCCAGGCCTCCACAGGGAAGAACCCCAGAGCACACAGTAAAAAAACTCTGCCTGAGTTTGATGCTCAGCCAGGTTTGGGAAATGTGGGTAAAGGTCAGTGCCAGATCTGATCTGATTTAATCTGATCTGGGGGATGCAGAAGAAATGAGAAAATCCACGGCATGCATGGCCTTCCAGGCTGGGTGAGTTTCAAGACCAAAAGGCCCCCTGAGATGGAGATGAAGTTAGCGGGCTCTCCTTGGTTTCCTGGGCCAGTGATGTTACTACAAATGAAGGGTCACTAACAAACAGAAAAGATGAACCATTCTTGGGGTGGAAAACCTTTGAAAAGTAGGTACAAAATGCTTGCTCCTTTCTTCTGCTGAGAATGCATACAAGAGAACAGACAAGCCATCTATGGCTTCTCTCCAAGCTTTGGCTCCCACCAAGGGGGGGGAAAAAAAGGTACAACATAGTTCCTTCACATCCCACCACCAATCAAGAATTTAGTGGAGAAAGAAGCTGTTATCAAACACACAGAATCAACCAACCACTGCCATGAAGTTGACTTCAACTAGTATCAACCATATAAAATGAAGCAGAATCGCGCTGTAAAGTTTCCAGTGCTGCAAACCTTTACAGAAGCAATCCACCTCCTATTTCTCCTTTGGGGTGGTGAAGAGTTGCGATGCCAACTCAAAGGTACACGGTTTGACTCCACAGCTGCTCTGCAGGAGAAAGATGGGCACTCTCCTTTCATGCAATTTACCACCTCTGAAAACCAACTGGACGGCCAGATGAGTTGGTTCCAATTTGACAGCACATAACAATAGTAAATCCAAACTCTCAAGATTTCTGTTAGAATCCAATGCTTAATCCACTGTGCCACAATGGCCCCTTAATCCACTGTGCCACCAGTTGCTCTCTGGGGGCATTCTGACATTCAAAGAAGTCCTTCAGAAAATGGTAAGTGAATGGAGCAAGATAGTTTGAGAGCATTTAGGCCAAGGACTAGAGAAAGTATTCTCTAGTAGATGGAGGAGATGGAAGGCAGGGACACCAAAACCAACCTTGACCACTGGAGTGTCCCCAGGCCTAGCCTGTGTAATAAATGACTCTAGGATCACAAGGTCTGTCAACATGACAGACAAGCCCATGCCCTCGAACTGCTTTGTCTCACACCAGCTCCAGAGGCTGAGGGCAGAGCCCTAAAGGACAACTTCTTGTCCCAGGGAGGAGAAGTGACTTCCTCAAGGATGTCTAATCGTTAGCACAGGCCCAGTAAAGGATGCAGTAATGCCAAAGTACCATTCTGCTTGATGATGCCTACATGTACGTGGAAGTGAGGCAGACATTATTCAAGCTCTGAGACAGAATCTGCTGAGTTCACAGTTACACAGAGGAAGATGACCAGATCCCTTCCAAGTCTCCCACATGGAAGGTGGGAAGTTCTTTCTTCCTCCTGGACCTTGGCCTTCTCCTCCAGCTCACTGTGTCTG